CTACATTTAAACCAAACCCTTGTTTCTGACAGTGTTGAAACTTAAAACCACAACACGGATTTACAGAATGTTTTTCATTTAGAATCTAATTGTATGCCTTGAGAATACAAGCGAAGGATCTGAGAGCAAAACAGTGGAATGAAGTGATTCTATTGTCTTGTTGGCGTAGAGTGACCTTTACATAATCAGGCAAACAAAGTGAGTTACTGCAGTAAAGTCCCGAACTGAGGCACTCAATGAACAACTGTGTGTACTGACAAAATGAATTTACAAAGATCCTTGTCACCGAGCAGAGTTTGTCTCTGTTCCACTACCACAAAAAACAAAAAACAAAACAAAAAAAACCAGCAGAAACCCCTCCAGCCCCGATCAAAAGAAAACATGGGAATTGTAGTCCTCATGCTGTGATATGATGATAGGAATGTCTTTGGAGAGAGGGGCTTGAAACTACAGTGCAACTGCCTGACTTTAGCTTTTATCTCCAGAGATGTGGAGGAGAAGCTGCTTGCCACTTAGTAGAAACAACAGCTGCCACTTAAAACAACGTCGTCGGCATCAAACAAAAACTTGAAGAATACAAAATTAAAAGGGTGTGGGTACGTAGTGGATATCCAAATGTACTGGAAGTACTGCACAAAAACTCCAGAGCTTTTTACTCCTTGAATTTTTCAGCCTTTTTTTATCTGCACATTATCAGTCTAACATCTAACTGTAATTTAGACTGGTGTGAAACTTCTACGTGACTCACTTCTTTAGAGCCTACTGAGACAAAAACACAATTCTGAAATCTAGAAATATAAACAAATCAGCGGCATCTTAAAAAAATGTTTTACCCAACTTTAAGCAGCATATAAATATAAAATATAAAAATGTTTTCTAAACGTTAAAGATTAAGTTATTTCAACAGTGAGGACGTACTGCAACATTTTTATATCAAAAATAAATCCAGTATTACTTATAATTGACTTCTTTAATCAAGTTTTAATAATTGAATCTTAATGCACTAGGTTTTCACAGTGTACTTATGAAAGTACACTTGTGATCACCTTATGAAATGTCCACACGTGCACGAGTCCTTGCCAAATCTATTTTATATTTAGTCCAAGTGAAGCTAAATATAGTTGGAGGTCAAGACCACATGCTAAGCGTCCACAAGTTCTATCATGTTTGACATCAGCTCTGACTACGACTCAAGCCCGTTTAACATCACTGAGCTGAACCCCCTGCTGGTCCCAAGCCCTGTTTGAACCGCATGGGTGGGGAGCAGTCGAGGTTTAGCTCAAAGAGATGCTGGTTTTGAGAACGTGTGTGTCTGAGTGTTTTTGTGTGTGTTGAATTACCAGGAGGAGGGACGTCTGTCAGGTGAGCTGGAGAGGGAGCGCCGTCTGTGAGGTGAGGAGGAGCTGCGGGAGCCAGATTGGGAGCGGGATCGTGAGCGGGACCCACTGCTGGTCCAGTAGAAAGGCCTCCCAGGTGAGAGGAGGAGAGAGGACGGTGGGGAGACAGAGCCTCGCGAGGGGGAGCAGCTGGATGGTGGGGAACAGGAGGGGGAGCAGGGGGGGCAGTCAAAAAGTAGGTCCAGAGGGGTGCCCTCCCACGGGTAGAGGAAACGACTTTCACGGCCTGTGCCCAGCGCCAGCTCATCGTGGAAGGGCAGAATCCCTGGATGCAGATAGCTGGCGCCTGGCTGCCTCTCTGGGTAGCAGTCTTCGTCTCCCCCTTTGGGAGAGGCAGCTTTGTTTGTTTTGCTATCTGGTTCTCTCTTCTGACCACCTTGACTACAGAGGCTTTTTAAGGGGGGGCCAAAGTGCTTATTAAGTTCCGCTCTGATTTCTTGGTCACACAAGAGCTTCCGGCTGCAGGCAGCAGAGTGTTGTTGGTGGTCCCTTTCAGCTGTGGCCCCCTGGGAGAAAGTTTCAGAGCTTTGCATCGGGGTCTGCTTCCCCTGAATCCGGTCTGCTTTTTCATCCATAGTGAGCGACTTTTGCTGCTTGGCCAAAGGACAAGATAATGGTGATGATGAAGAGCAAGAAGATGGAGATGATGAAGATGGTGGCATGACTGAGTCCTTACATTCAAAATGCCTGTCTTCCACTGTGCCTGTCGGCGGCATGAGAGCAGCAGCGGTACCTGCAGCGGTTGACATTTTGGCTGCCACAGTCACAGCGGCAGTGGCTGTGCTGCCCTCCTTCTTAGAGTTAGCTGACGCTTGGCAATAGTCATGGTCACTGTGGCCACGCGACACCGACCTCTTACTGTTGCTAGTGCTGCAATGCTCATTGAGACTGCCCGCCAATGTGCGTTGCGTGGCAGCGTAAGGGAGAGCAGTTGATGCTTTGCTCAGCTGGGCATAAAGCTCAGTCTGTTCGGGACCCTTCCTGTTGGGGCCCCCGCCTGAGGCACCTGGGGCTGGGGCCAGAGTGCTGGGGCCCAGCTCGGTCAACCTGGCTCTTTTGCATGCCAAGGCCGAGGAGGAACATGGAGACAACTTGGTTTTAAGCGATGCTTTGAAAGGATTCTCTTGACTGACTTTGTGTGGGGGCGTGGTAGGTGGTGTCAGACCTGGAGAAGGGTGAAGAGACATTGGTTGGTGGTTGGTTAGAGGCAATAAAATAAAAATAGAATCATAATGCAAACCACTCCAAATGCCTCATCTTATTGGCCCCACAACATCCCCCACCGCCCTCCCTCTATAAACTCTCAGGTCAGTTTATGGACAGTGGACACAGATACATGCCTGATTAAAATATTCACTTTCACTTGGCCTAATCCTGATCTCTATTTTATTACAATCTTGACAGATTAATGTAATGCTTGGTGTAACTTAATACGGTGGTGCTGTTATACGGATGACTTGCCTCCCCTTCCTCTCTGACCTTGCAAGGATACCTTTTCTTGAAAAGGAAAGCCACAACACAAAACCATGCAGAGGACAAATGTAATGCATCTGATGAAAAAAAAAGGATATATTTAAAGAACATGTATCAAATCTCTGCCTACCTCACACAAATGGTGCTGGAAAGAGGCCAATATATCTAAATAAAACCAAAGCCATTTTAATCCGTCTGAATGAACAATCACTGACGTGATGCCACGCTTGATTCAGAATGATCCAGCACCATCTGTCTGAAGCAGTGTAGGATGTTGCTGCATGTCAATACACTTGACATACATGTGAGCATGCCCGCTGATGCCATGACAAAATGTCAGAGAATTGCAGGAAGTACTGGCGTATGGCTTGTCATTCTTTTCCGATGGCATGTCCCTACTGCTAGAGCTCCCCCCTTTCTCTGCCTCCCACAGATTTACAACCAAGCAGATGGCAGTTATATGGGAAGTCCTGAGATGAGCCCACTTTATAGCATTGTTAATGCACTCACACAAACAGGCGCCACCATTACTCTCATTTGCGATTTCCTCCTTTAGTCTTGTACTCTCCCCTTTTCTCTCCTCCTGTCTGCCATCTTCCACAGATCAGTCTCAGTCTCTTACTTCCCCTTGTCATTCCCTTGGCATCTTTTCCTGTTTCTGTCTCTGTGCAAAACAAATGTGCCCCCCACACACACTCGTCACTAACAGTCTCTCACTGGAGTCAAACCCAGGCACTTTTAAAACACCTACGCTCTCTTCTCCTCCTCTTTGCCTTATAATGCACATCATTCTAAGCTCACTCCTGAATTGCACCAAATGACAGCTATTAGCATTAAATCCAGTGTTGGAGTATGCACCGGGAAGACAGCTAGGCAAAGAGAGAGGTTGAGTCTGTTACCTGGAAAGCATGACTGATCTGTGATTTACTATCATAGTTATTATTTGCATGTTTGTAAATAAAACTGCAATCAATCAGTATCTTCATCTTCATCATCCCTCCTTTTTTAAACACCGTCTCCATCTATCACTGCTGAAGATATAAATGTGCAGATACTGTATATACATTACCCCAATTAATTTGAGCTTAAATAGGGGACAAAAGAAAAAAGGCATAATGCCTGAGGAATTTCCGTGTCACCAGTGAAGCACCATCTGTCCAAAACAATGAGTATGGGATCATAAACTAGGAAGCATTAGCACTGTAGGTGAAATAAATCAGAATAAGACAAATATGGGCCTCTTAGTCAGTCTTGTTCATGATGGATGATCCACAGACAGAAACAACAGTCATGTGCCCACCGGTAAGAAAATGATGAGCACGGACAAAAAAGAAAGAGGAGAAGGATTATTTTAATCTTTTTCTCATTCAGCTAGAAATTGGGAGGAGACCGCGAAGCATATAACAACTTTGGGCTTAGACAGTTGATCTGTCAGTAAGCCGCGCAAATAGCAACACACAGACCACCCAGGTGTCATGAGATACAGTAATTAAAGACAACACAACAGCACAGAGTAAATCTATTAGCTTGGCTGAGATTAGGCTTGAACAGTCAGATCCCCTGGGGGTCTCACTGCCTGCTATAACTTTGCTGTACCTTTCTGAAAAGAGTCAGAAAAAATTCCCAGTAGCGTGTGAAAAGCTGATAACGCAGTATTAAAAATAATATGGTTTATTACAAGATGAGCAGGTTTATATTTAATATATATATATATATATATATATATATATAAAAAACCCTACGAAACAGTAACCACTATTACTATAACTTGTCATAAAATAATGTGTAACAGGCAACGGGTCATGGAAAGTTCCATAAAGGATTTTTTTCTACCTTCCTTCAAGGTGGATGATGGAACCGTCCACCTGGCAAACTTCCATCTGGTTATCATTAACACTGGAATAATATTTAGTCAAGTGGAAAGCTACTGTGAGGACATGCTAACTTTGGACCTCACTTAAGGGGATCTATATTATTGGTGTCAGTTAATCCCTTAAGTTGAAAAGGGGTCTCTGCAACCTGGAGCTGTTCATGCTAATGACATTTCTGCTAATATTCAATCCAACATTTGCGCCAGATGCTGAAGGCAGGTGAAGTACTTCATTTGACTGTGCTTTTGAAATGGATGCTCTGACACAGAACGGACGCCTGCATTTGGACAGAGGTCACCAGACTCACCCACGTGCAGTAAAATAGAAAGAAATATTAACTATGCTTGATTACCCAAGACATTAAGCAGTGCTGCTCTTTACCTCCTTAAGGTCTCAACAAGTACCGCCTTTGACCCTGAATCCTCAGCCACACAAAATATTTAAAAGTCACCTCGACAAAGGTTAGGAGGACAGACTCAAATCCCCTTGGGTCACTTGGCGAAAGGTGCAGAGAGCAGAAACTATGTTTGTATGTACATATGTACATACAAACATATGTATGTATGTAAGTCACACGGTATGAAGGACTATGTATGTATGTAAGTCACACGGTATGAGGGACTGGAGGGTGGCCAATTTGCTTTTATTGATCTCAGATATTTAATCCAGGAGTAGTGATCACTGAGACAAATTTTTTGACAAATAATTAAAGATATATATATATATATATATATATATACAGTGACTGCCTGCAGTCCAGATCTGTCTCCTCCCTGTTTGCTCAAGACACTACACAAGGTTTTAGGGGAATTAGCATACAGCAATGAAAATATTCAAAACTGCGAAAATCAGTATCCTCTATTTCAAAACCATTAAAATGCTTCACCCAGCAGTAAACTTTTTCCTCTTTGTCCAGCATTTAAAGTGCTCTGTAAATATCAAATTTGTCAGTTCATAAGTATAATTTAGGTGATCAGTAAAAGTGTTACAAATGTCCTAGTGTGCATGACAAATAAACTCACATTGACACTACAAATGAGCATGTATTTTGTAACACAGGAAAATAACTCCTAAATGAGCAAAGTGTTTCTATATTTAGCCGGAAGGAAGGCCTACATCATACCAGCAACGCTAAATTACACAGCAGAGGCAATTAAAACAATGCTACTTTATTTTCATTTGCTGGGTAAGTGTGCTGTCAGTCAGAGAGCACTGATCTGATAGGGACAGAAGGAAGGCATATTAACTTCACTAAGAGGGGGTGAGCAATGGGTGGCTGTGAGAGGTTTGCTAATAAACCCTGCACAGATTGGAAAGCCTAATCAATACCCAAGCACATAAATGTTCTCCTGTGACTTCACCTTGAACTTTAAACTGTGATGAAACTATCAAGATGTTGGTAAATGCCACAAGTTAACCCATTACTTTCTGCTAGTTAAAGTTTCTATTGAAGGAGATTTTTTTTCTCACCTGGGGTTCCAGCAATCTCCACACTTAATGTGCGTTCAATGGTTTTGTTCTCAAACGGTGATCCCTTGTGGTCACTGAAAGACAAAAGAGGGTGCAGCTTCTTAGTTGACACATGAAGTCAAGACTTAGTAAGATTTTTATGGTCTAAGAAATGGAAATGAGTCACAAAAATGCCTCAACTAGGACGGTAGTCTATACAGATTCTTCAACTGTCTATTTTCTGTAGTTTGTTGTTTTTGTTGCCTAGAATAAGTTGGAAAAACTTCTCACACTTACTTTGGAGACTCTGGGGTCAAAGGAAGTGGCAAGGTGGTTGGTTTGGCTGCAGAACACAAAGGAGCATGGGTAATTATTGATCTAGGTATAACACTCATGGCAGATGAGAAAAAGTCCACATTCTGCAACTATTAATCTCAAACTAGCCCACTGAATAAAAATATCACTAAAAATGCCCATCTCCGGTTAGGAGGTTCTATCGACAATATTGTACAAAGCAAGTCTGTCTTTTAGATTGACCCCGCTTTTACAATTTATTCTCTTAGGATAGACTGTTCACTCTGTGAGGCAGGATGAAGTGATGGTTCATGTTTTACAGGTGTCTAGACACAGTCTGACTGAGACAACAAACAGATTGAAATGGAACAGAGACAAAAAAGAGACAATGCCACAGACAAGACACATGAAAGTGGGTGAGCCCCTCCCTGGACAGTAAGGTCATATTTGCATGCACCAACAGCAGAAAAGGTGAAAAGGAAGGAAGAAAGGAGAGTCAAGGAAGCTTGTGCAGTTGCCCGAGGCTCTGGCTGACTTGTGCTCCAGCAAAATGAATGTGACTGTAGCAGCACAACCCTAAAGAGCAGCACCTGGGCTCTGAATCTAAATGTACAGGTTCAGCACACTCAGCTCTATTAGCAAAAATAACAACAACAAAAAAAAATAATAATGACTGTAGCAGCACAACCCTAAAGAGCAGCACCTGGGCTCTGAATCTAAATGTACAGGTTCAGCACACTCAGCTCTATTAGCAAAAATAACAAACAAAAAAAAAATAATAATAAAAAAAAACTACAGACTACAGGGGTCAAATTCATAAATACAAAACGTACAGTAGCAGGACAAGGCTCACCCCTTTTCCCACCCCTTCTTTATTTATATCTTTTTTCCATTTGTTTGAATTTCAAATGGTGTCCATGGAACTAACTAAAACTTTGGGCAGCAAGCTGTTTGTTTGTCATGGTTGTTTATACCCTCAGAATGACTGTTAGATTCAAATTAGAATAGGAGTTAGTTGTGAAGTCAAACTCGGAAGTGGTTAGAGCAGGAGAGGGAGAAGAGAGCAAAGATAAGGCCAGTGGGGGGATGCAGTCATGATTACCTAACAATGGGAGGCCCTGGTCATCGGGGTGCTTGCTGAGTGCCTGTCTGTGTAGGTGCCCTTGCCCTTGTGTGATGCAGGGAGGGGTGGGCTCTGCATTTCTAGTATCTGGGAAGAATGGGCTTCGTGGGCCCTGTGAGAGCCCTGCTGCTGGGCTGCCCATCAGATGGTCATCATCATCAGCATCATCAACACCATCATCATCATCATAATGGTTAGCATCCTCCCCATAGCCCACCTGGATTGGCAAATCCAGTTCTAGTCCAGAGCCAGTATACATCCCTGGATCTGTTTGGCTAACCCAACTCTCAAAGTCAAAGGAAAGGGGTGACAACAGGGGAACGTAGTCTTGCTTTTCAGCCTGACTTACACGTCTGGACTCTTCCTCCTTCACCTTTGAAATAGTCTTGGGTAACCTCTTAGACCTCTTACCTGTCGATTTGCCCTGAGAAATTGGTAAAGAGGTGATTTTAGATTGGGGGTGGGACGAGTACTGAGAAGGCCTCGGCTTGGAAGTGAGCAGCTGGCTAAGTAAAGGATGCCCCAGCTTCCCATCTCGTTTCTTAATAGTCACTGTGATGTGCTTAGGTGGTACATGACTGGCACCACTTTTCTTGCTACGGCCTTGCCTGCCAAATCCCCGACTAGCCTGAGTGGCGCCCGCAGCCTCTCGGCAATGCTCACAGCTGTGACTCACCTCTCTGGGAGGGAGGGAATAAGAATGCATATACCTAATAAACCTAGCGGCGGCCAGGCGGCCCGCATCGCCTGGCGGCCTTCCTTCTTCACTGGGAAGCCCGTGCTCCAGTTTGGGGCGGGCATGGCCGCAGATGGAGGTTCTGTGGCCGACAGGGATAGAAGCACCCTCCAACTCCTCAATACCGCCATCGTGAGTGCAACGCTGCCACTTCCCAGCCCCAACACCAGCCACACTACACTCGCCTGCAGCCCGGCTCTCACCTCGCTGGTGATGCTGCTGCTGTGGCTGCTGCTGCTGTTGAGACGACACAGCTGACTTCTTCTTGGAGGAGTTGGAAGAAGATGATGAGGTGGAGGAGAGAGAGGAGAACGAGGAGGTGGATGACGAGGATGGCGACGAGGAGGATGAAGAGGCACCAATGCCGAGGCCGTTCTTTTCTCTGCTGCTGGCACCACCCCACGTGCTCTTGGCATCACTGGCTTTGGTGTGGAGCAGGATGTCATCGGTGGCCGTAAGGTATTTCAGCAGCTCAGTACAAGGCCGCCTCACCGGGCGGTTCTGTTGGCTGGAGCCCCCTCTTGCTTTTCCATTCCAGGGGCTCTCCGTCTGGAGCAATAAAAAAAGAAAGAGCGTTATGAAAATAGTTAGGTTGATTAAATAAATGCTTTGCTAACTGCTCAATGCACAGCAGAGCTGCTCTTCTTGACAAAAACAAATTTACAAAAGATAGAGCCACAGAAAGGCCACTCGGTGACTCAAATAGCCTGAGCACAGTGGTTGCCCAAGTGTCTGAAAGGCAACGGTGGGGCTGCAGTCCGCCCATCATCTTAATTGCACAGCCCTTCAAGCACCACTGTGCCACTTTGTAAGCACCCGGTGTCCTCCGGGAGTCCTCACTCTCTGTGTACCAGAAATGAATGGCTCAAAGGCACGTTATGGAAATAGGCTGTGTGAGAGAGACTGACACATTATGTGTGCATCGCACAAATCTGTGTCTGTGCTATGTTTGTTAACTACACAACATGATTATCTTGAAGCTCCTTATATTCAGAAGATTTTAATCACTGGGGAATCTTAAGATTTTCCAGGAGAGGATTAAATGAGCAGTCGCTGTACACATTTAATGACATTCATACACCAACAATAGAAACTAAAATTAAAGAGATTATGGGTTCATTTTTTCAGCTGTATATGATTAAACTGTTGCCTTCAGAACCTCAAGTTCAATTTTTTGACGTATCATTTCCCTAATAAATCTCACATAAGTAGTAATTTGGTTTTTCTTCGTCTCCCTCCCTGTTGCAGGCAGCAAACTGTAGTGGGATAAATGGTGAACCTAATGAGACAATGGTGCTGAGACATTGCCTAGAAAGCCCAACAGCAATCAGCCTGTTTTCATTATGGGATGCCCCCCTGGGAGAGGAGACTGGAGCAGTTGTCTAACATCTACTAAAGGCGGCCACCAAAACAAGCAAAATGTGGAATGAGTGAGAGCAAGAATCCAAGTGAACCAGCTAAACAAATGTTAACAAAAAATGTGAGACAAGTTAAATCACCAGAAACATAGTGCTGTTGTGTGTGTGTGTGTGTGTCGCTACCTTGATGACGGCAGGTGGTGGTCTGATCCGGTGGTTGCTGCTGGCTGCATGGTTTTGTGCCTTGCCACCTGTGTATTGATTATAGCTGAGCTGGGAGTTTGCGGGTGCCAGAAGGAGCTTCTTCAGCTGCAAATGGACCCAAACAGTACAAGAGAAAGTGGTAAAAGAGGGAGGGGGCAGGGCATTGGTTTTGCAAATTGCTATTTTCTTTCAATTAGACAGTCTGCACTTTGTGAGTGTAACTCTCAGAAGACACAGAAACATAAAAAATGTAATCACATTGATTACACAGAAAAGTAAAAACATGGCAGCACATTTGACATTTATTTTACATGGGCTGATGTTGTATATACAAATCAAAGCGTCTGAAATGTATTTGAATAAACACACTTTGGTATGTGTAAAAAAGGTCACTTGGAAGGAACCGACATGGAATAAAATTGACAAGAACGGAACATAACAGTATTAGGTCAAAGTCGATGGCCCGGGTAATAAAGTTATGTGTAAAAATAAATAGGGCAGCACAAGAGTAAGGATTTTATTATTTTAATGCAAAATATAATGACTGATTTCTTGATATTTCTTTATAAATGTCTTTATATTTATAATTTATCATATTTGCCCTGCTCTCATTATGTACCAGTTTAATTTCTGACCCTCTGACATTATTTCAACCAAAGCCTGTCCCGACACAGCATACATATAATGGAACTATTGCCACAATGCATTATATGAACAAGACTAAATCGGTTACATACCGATCGTGCCCATTAACTTTTGTTCTCTCAGCATCTGCATCTCTGCATGCTCTCACTACACATAAATAGAGCCCATTAAGACAATTATGGCAGACTCTGGATTGGACAGTGCCATGTACAGAAGTCAAACGGGCGCCTTTGGTGCCCAGTCTTGTTAAAATGTCTTATCTGGTGTCTGCCATGAAGAGGACATAAAAACACTGTGTAGAAAGATGGATGTTGTGTCTCCTCCTCGGTTGCTAGAACTGTATGGGAGGATAATGAAAAGCAGTTGTTGGTCTTACCAGAGAAGGCTCCTCGGGCTCTGGTGTGCGTGGTGAGCCGTCGGGGGAGGAGGGACAGCTCTGGTCACTGGCATTGGTCACGTCCCCATCTGCCAGGGCCTCAAATGAAGGCAATCCGTCCTCATCCACCGGGATGCTGTCCAGGGTCTCTGTAAGCACTGCCAGCAAGTTGGCCTCATTTTCTTCATCTATCTTCTTAGGAGGGTGAAGAGAGGGATGGAGACAGAAAAACAGAAAGACAGAAAATAGGACACTTTAGTCAAGGGAAGTTTCATCTTTTTTTTTTTTTCTTCTTCTGGTTGTGGGTGGTTGCGAGCCACCGTTCTTTGTAATAGAGTGGGAAGATGATTTTACCCATTTTTGTAGCGGATGAACCGGCTGCAGCTTTCTTTTTAAAAAAGCTGTATGCATTACAGTCAAGCTTTTTTCTGAGATATTAAATATGCAGCTTACTGGACCAAAAATAAAATTTCCCCCAAGAAACTCATTACAAGGGATGACAAGCAGCGAGGAGCCACAAAGGACAGGAATATGTTGAGAAAGTCAACTGTATGAAGTAATTTAGTGGAAGTTGACCCTCCCTGATGACATCTGCCTTGCTTACAAAATGTTTGCAAGCTTTTTTTAGTTGAGGAAAATTACCACACTGATGCAGTTCATCTATAATGTTGGCAAAGCAGATGATGTTCAACACCAGCATTTAAAAAAAATGTTCCTGCCATTAACTCTTCAGTGTAGTACGACAGCGAAGGAAATAGACGAAAAGAGATTAAAAGAGAAAATTACCAGTTGGCCTATTTTTGAAAATATATTCATGTTGGTAAATAATAAAAGTCAAATATATTGACATAGAATTTGAGGTGCTTCCTCCATGTGAAGTTTCTGTGCCAAAAAGATTGTACAGTTGCACAATCGAGCAACAACTTGTGACAGGCGACAAAAGGAAGTGTAAGATCAAGGGCTATAAAAGCCCGCGGGACTACAGGACAGCGGAAAGATAAACAGCGTCGCCACCGTGGGATGTGCTGTAGCAAGAACCACAACAGCAAATCCCTTTATGCACACTGCAGGATTATCATAGCTCAGCAATGGAGAATGGTCCTAATTATGCTGAGATGGCCAGCGATCCTTCAGATATCAGAACAACATCCACGAAATGTATCCCCCCCACCTGAGTCTGTTTCCTCACTGATTTTACACACCAGCTTGTACAGCACAGCTGTGGATTCATCAATAACACTGTGGCCTTTTCAATTTTTTTTCTTACCACCATCTCCTTCTTTATCCATTTAAGGTGATTATACCTTGGATTATACTGACAGATTGTCTCCAAAACAACATAAGCAATCAGTCATTATTTTGAAAAAAAGAATTCAGTGGACATATTTCACAGTGATAATAGAACATTGGGGCCATGCTGTACTGGCAAGTGAATGTCTACTAGCAGGAAATTGCTCTGTATGAGGTGGCATGCTGTTTAATTACTTGAAAAAAAAGCTTCAAATCCACTGTGCTGGAACCCTGTGATACTGAATTGTTCACCCTTTTCTACCTTCCCAAGTTATTACCTGAGCACTCAGTGGGAAGGTATTACTCCCAGATAACTCCGTAGCCTTTTTGACTTGAAACTGACTTTTTTGCTCGAGAAATTGAAAGAAGGATCACTTTAAATGACCACAAATTAGTGTTTTATGACTAAGAAATGTATTTAGGTTCAACTCTACCAACCGCCCAATCTGCACTGAATTCAGGTGTGACTTTTTTTATTCTTCCCAAGATTAGGTTTTAGTCAATACTTTCTAGTGCCTCCGTGTGACTTTAAAAGTTAAGAGGGAATAGCAAGCTTCATTATGTTAAGGTTAGGGAAGGATTGGGGGGAATTTCTCAGGCTGTGGCAAGCTCAAATGTAGTGATTTTCAATCTTGTTTAAAAAAAAAAACTCCATTTGGCAAGCTCCCACAGGCACACTGTATCCCTGCAGATAACCCAGAAGGGACTCTCATATTCTGAAAGAGACACTTGTAAAACCCTGAGTCGTGACCATCATGCTGCAGCCTCTGCCGTAGCTCTTGTGGAGGCACTCACAGGCCAAGTGGGGATTTAAAAAACTGGGGTAAAGAGCCAACATCAGTGATCGTTTCTGCTCCAGAGAGAGCATGATCTATTACCCCTGTACAGGTGGGTGAGCTTCTCTGTGCCAAGTGATGGAGCTCACTGTGAAGAGACTCCACACTAGAGTCAATCTAGCGCCAATGACTCAGCCATCACCTGTATATTTATAAACAACTTCTCCATGTAGGTGGACTGTGTTGAAACCCAGAGGGAAGCATGACAGCAGGATAACCTCGCCACCGGCTCATAGCCATGTCCACTTATATTGATTAGTCCAGCAGCTGCTGGGTGGAAAAGAGGGCAAGAGGAACAAAGACACAGGAGGAAAAATTGTCTCGGTGGGAGCACTTTCTTACCCATCCCGCTTAATGGACCTCTCCGAATTAAAGAGATCTTAACAATCCTGGGCTAATTGTGGGATCACAATATATTAACCCCGCTCCAATTCTAAAGGGTACCATTTTGAGCCTGCTTTATTCCAAATGCTTCAATTAGCCATAAAACACGCTGGCAAGTGCTGGCAGAGCTTCCCTCTCCCCTCCTTCACCCCAGCGTTTCCATGTCGGCAGAAAGAAAGACAACTCTGGTGGTTCATTATGAGTGGAGGCCTCTTTGTTATCAGGCAGCCTGTCTTTGAGACTGCCCTTGCTTTTAACACTTTTATTGAGTTCCGGGGTTGAGCATTGTGTTCCAGGAGATACTATTCACACAGCAGATAATGGCAGGTTTAAATTGTTTAACACTGATGACTCGGGCCAAATTAAAACTGCAAATTGTGAATTGAGAATTCTCAGCTGTGGAGTAAGTTTCACAGGTATGCCAAGTGAACAGTGTCTGTGACATGAATCATTCTACACACCAAAACAAACCGAATATCTTGCAAAAATGCCAGAATGATAGACTAAGTGATCGGTGATTAAAACCAGGATGAGGCTTCAGCTGATTAACAGCAGCAGTGTTATCTTCAAGAAGAAGGAAGTGTGAGACACTGGGTGTGAGAAGATAAAATATCTTTATGTGAAATACGTAAGCAAGTATTTAAAGTACTGTTTATTGGCATAAAATATTATAAGCAATGTTTAAAAAAAAAAAAAGAGGTACTCATTGCTTTAAATAACGGCATTGTGGCACAAATTACGGAGAGTATACGACTTGGTATCAAGTTGTCACTTCTCTCCTCTGCCAAGGAGAGCAGCCCTGGATTTGATAAACAAATAATGTCATTCGACATTATTACCCAAGGCCCCATGATTTCAGAGGAAATAAATCAAGTCAGGTTTGTTGTTAAGGTGTTAGTCAGTCCTGACACGTCGGCTGGTCACACAGGCACAGCATATGGCAGTGAAGAATTAGGGGCGGTACGGAAGGCAGAAAGGCTAGAAGTATGGCAGGATGCACGGCAGAGAGACAAATCATGGCAGCCACAAGAGACGTGTGGTCATTTAGCATGAGCTTACTGAGATGTAGAGCGGGTGATTATGGCCTTTTCAGAGCAATGAATCCATACATAACAGCGTTAAGTCCCTTCGTGTGTCTGTCTGTGAGTGAGGCAGTTGAAGCACATTGGCTAAACTGAAATTAAAAAGCTGTGGTTTGCTCAGGGATGAATATGAGCTTTTTGGCACATGCCACAAAAGAACAATTTTTGGTTTAACCACTTAACACTTCCTAATCTCTTCGTGATTGTCTGTTTGAAGTTACCTCATCTCGTGTAAACCGTACTTTGTGTGTCTACTGAACAGAAAAAATATAAACTGAATGAAAAATAACTGCTAGTTCAGAAGCAGACTGTTTATGTGGCAGATGCCTGCCTCCATTTAGTGGGGCTGCCTTAGTTATAAATCAGCGAAAAAATGGTTCGACCTATGAATGAGGACCAGGATGTGTGTATAGAGATGATGCATCTCCTGGGAACCATTTGAGACTGTTAGAGCCCTATCAGATGAGCTGATGGAAGGGGGGAGGGAAGAGAATGTGAGAAGAAAAAAGATATCTGTAAGTGAGTGTGTGAGAGGGAGCCAAAGAGAGAATAAGAACTGTTGTTACACATCCTGACAAGGGACTGGATCCAATTGAGACACCTACACAAGGGATGTTAACAGTGCAGTTGTCTTCAGTTCTCCTGAGAAGAATCCTTCGACCACTAACCCTGCTGCTAGAACTTCTGTGATTAGCTGAGGCGTCACAAGAGAGTGACGTCAATTACATTTTTGGTTCAAAGACCATGTTGTTACTTCATAAACAAACAGCAGCTGCAGTGACACCACAGCGATGCCAAATAGCACATGCAATTTTGTGTGACACGGACAGTCACAAAAGTCGGTCTCCAAAAGATCATTTTCGAGGTGGGGGAGATGGGGGTGTAGGGTGGGGTTCTCAGTGTGTCGTCTGCAACCCTGCCCCAAGCTGCTGCTGTTTTCCTTTAGCAGCCGTCCAACAGATGGTCTGAGCGATCGTTTGCTAACACCACAGAATCGCACATCATCAAAGTGACTGGACACTCACTCTTTTGTTTTGGCAGCTTCTTCCTAATGGGCTTGGCACGTGAAAACACTGATTGCGGTGATTGCTCTGCCTCCGACTTGCCCTGACGGTCACAGCAGGAGGGAGAGACAAACAAAGATTCGGAGCTGGGAATAAGGGATATTCAGCCGGATGCAGAGATGGGGTAGGATGCAGAGATGGGATGAAGGATGGTGCTTTTCTCTGCTTTTTCTGCTTAATGGCATGCAAATAGCTATTTGCTTAAGTTGGCAGCTTTGAATGTGCACAACTAAGCAAGGAGTCTTTGAACATACTGTTACAGTTTTGATAATGCGTTGGAGCCACACAGAGAAGGGAACAGACTGAGTGCAGAAGAAGTGGCACAGAGACTTTTTTGCAGTCCATCTTCCTGCATTAGACGCTGTCACATTTCCTAGGTGTGATGCAAGTGTGCCGTCAGCACTTAAGTGTAGCTGTCCACAAAAGAATTATGCACACAGATACACTTTGCTTTTGACATTTACATACGTTTGCAAGGGCGAGCAAAATGGAGCAGACACTTTCATTCTTTGCACAGCGAACTCAATGTTGTTATCCCT